CTGCCCGCTGCAAAGGGATCCTGTATCCTAGCAGGTGAAATCTGAGCTGTAATAAGCTCTTCCTATAAACTCTGGGGCGTCTGTCAGCCTGCTCGCTGCCTGCCGCGACGGAACCCCGGTCCTAGCAGTAAACCCCTCAGGGCGCCTGTCAGTCTCTCCTAGACTGTCCACTGCAATGGGGCCTTGTGTCCCAGCAGTTGAAGACTCAAGTGTAACACACACACACACACACACTGCCCTGACCGTCGGCTCTCACAAATGGAAAGTCATGCCTTTCTTCTCAATGGCCAGGGAGTTCTGCCCTGCATCTCTGAGACACTAGCACAAAATGTCAGCCAAGAAGCTGACCCCATCTTGGCAGGAACAGATACCCGCTGCAAAGGGATCCTGTATCCTAGCAGGTGAAATCTGAGCTGTAATAAGCTCTTCCTATAAACTCTGGGGCGTCTGTCAGCCTGCTCGCTGCCTGCCGCGACGGAACCCCGGTCCTAGCAGTAAACCCCTCAGGGCGCCTGTCAGTCTCTCCTAGACTGTCCACTGCAATGGGGCCTTGTGTCCCAGCAGTTGAAGACTCAAGTGTAACACACACACACACACACACTGCCCTGACCGTCGGCTCTCACAAATGGAAAGTCATGCCTTACCAATCTTATTAGCTTCTATGATGAGGTAACTGGCTCTGTGGACGTGGGAAAGTTAGTGGATGTGATATACCTCGACTTTAGCAAGGCTTTTGATATTGTCTTCCACAATATTCTTGCCAGCAAGTTAAGGGAATGTGGATTTGCTAAATGGACAGTAAGATGGATAGAAAGTTGTCTAGAATGCCGGGCCCAGCGGGTAGCGATCAATGGCTTGCTGTCAGGATGGAAGTCGTTATCTAGCGTTGTGCTCCAAGGTTCGGTTCTAGGACCGGTTTTGTTCAGTATCTTTATTAATGACCTGGATGAGGGGATGGATTGCACCCTCAGCAAGTTTGCAGATGACACTAAGCTAGGGGGAGAGGTAGATATGCTTGAGGGTAGAGATAGGGTCCAGAGTGACTTAGAAAAATTGGAGGATTGGGCCACAAGCAATCTGATGTCCTGCACTTTGGATGGAAGAATCCCAAGCATTGTTACAGGTTGGGGATCAACCAGCTAAGTAGTAGTTCTGCAGAAAAGGACTTGGGGGTTACAGTGGATGAGAAGCTGGAGATGAGTCAACAGTGTGCCCTTGTAGCCAAGAAGGCTAATGGTATATTTGGTTGCATTACAAGGAGCATTGCCAGGAGATCCAGAGATGTCATTATTCCCCCTTATTTGTCTCTGGTGAGGCCACATTTGGAGTATTGTGTCCAGTTCTGGGCTACCACTACAAAAAGGATTTGGATGCATTGGAGGGGGTCCAGCAGAGGGCAACCAAAATGATTAGGGGGTTGGAGCACATGACCTATGAGGAGAGGCTGAGGGAGTTGAGTCTGTTTAGTCTGCAGAAGCGAAGAGTGAGGGGGGATTTGATAGCAGCCTTCAACTTACTGTTGGGAGGTTCCAAAGAGGATGGAGAAAGGCTGTTCTCAGTAGTGATGGATGGCAGAACAAGGAGCAATGGTCTCAAGTTGTGGTGGGAGAGGTCCAGGTTGGATATTAGGAAAAACTATTTCAGTAGGAGGGTGGTGAAGCACTGGAATGGGTTATCTAGGGAAGTAGTGGGGTCTCCATATCTAGAGGTGTTTAAGTCTCGGCTTGACAAGGCACTGGCTGAGTTGATTTAGTTGGGATTGGTCCTGCCTCGAGCAGGGGGCTGGACTTGATGACCTTCTAAGGTCTTTTCCAGCTCTATGGTTCTATGATTCTATGATTCACCCTTGAAGAATGCTTGAAGGGGGGAAAAGGACCCATTGTACAATATTATTCTGAAAAATATTTGGTGCTCTCAGTTGTAAAAAATCATGCCTTCATCGATCAATCAGGGAAACTTGGAATGCTTGTATATTTTAAAAAATTGCATTAGCACATATTCTTCTGTGAGAATATTCATGACAATGATGTGTGCCTTTTTCTATAGCATGTCAGAAGATTTGAAACCTAATTGTAATATGAAAGTGTACATTCCAGCAGGTTCAGTGAAGAAAACACAAAGACAGCTCTTTACCATATATCAAAAGTGGTAAGGTTCAAAAGTGATAGGGTATCTCATCATTCTGTGTTCTGTAGAGTGCTGTACAAATCTTTGATTGATAAATCTTTGATTTAAAAACTCCAGTTGAGCCTGTTATTCAACAACCTAGAATTATTGTTAACACAGTTTCTCATACCCCCTGCCCTGTATCAGATTCAAATGATGCCTCAACATACTGACTGCTGATTGTCAGCATTATGAATGCAGAAGATGCCAGATTGTGGTGTATTCCTAAAGACTTAGCTATAAACTCATAGGCATATAGCATCACTTCTGAAAGAGGACAGAGGGAAGTTTGCATGGGCTGGCTACCTTAGTTGTGCATTTCTGACTTTCAACCTAAAATAGAGTAGTGAGCAGAGATCAGGCTGAATTAGTATCAGTTCTATGCAAGCCCTCATTCTTACTGAGAAGTTTATGAGGACAAGATTTTTTTAAAGATTATTCTAGTTGATTTTAAAGTTTTTCATATACGAATACAACCAGAATGTCCCTTTCTCCTTTGATTATTTCTGATTGGCACAAAAGCTACATTAATTTAGAAGTATGGGTACCTAATGGTATGTTTCCTTGCAGAGTATTGAAATTGAGCTAAACTTAAACTCCTTAAATGCTACGTCTAGACTGTCATGATTTTCCGCAAATGCTTTTAATGGAAAAGCTTTTCTGTTAAAAGCATTTGCGGAAAAGAGCGTCTAGATTGGCACAGATGCTTTTGCGCAAAAGCGCTTTTGCGCAAAAGCATCTGTGCCAATCTAGACGCTCTTTTCCGCAAATGCTTTTAACAGAAAAGCTTTTCCATTAAAAGCATTTGCGGAAAATCATGACAGTCTAGACGTAGCATTTAAGGAGTTTAAGTTTAGCTCAATTTCAATACTCTGCAAGGAAACATACCATTAGGTACCCATACTTCTAAATTAATGTAGCTTTTGTGCCAATCAGAAATAATCAAAGGAGAAAGGGACATTCTGGTTGTATTCGTATATGAAAAACTTTAAAATCAACTAGAATAATCTTTAAAAAAATCTTGTCCTCATAAACTTCTCAGTAAGAATGAGGGCTTGCATAGAACTGATACTAATTCAGCCTGATCTCTGCTCACTACTCTATTTTAGGTTGAAAGTTATATTTTATATAATTTTGCATAAAATTATATGTAAAAAATTGTCTTCTCTTACCTGTGTTCTCTAGTTGTTCCAATTTCTTCTCCAAAAGACTCATTTCCAGATTTGGTTCTGATGCTGAGAGTTTCTTTTCTAGGCCATCTTTCCATTGCTGTAGCTCATCTCTTTTGGCAAACTGCATGTTGTCTAAAGTTTTCAGTTTTCTTTCTATTTCTTGGGAAACTTTTTGATCAATGCAGGACAATTGAGTAGTCAGCTGTTTAATCTGTGTTTCTACACCTAAGAGAAGATTTTGTGGCTGGGCTTCTGAATGTGTTTGGACACTATTTAATTTCTCATCCAGTAACTTCTTTATTGTCTCGAGATTGGCTTGGATCTCTGCCTTAAACTGCTCTTCCCTCTTCTTTTCTAAAAGCAAGAAAGTGATTTTTTTTTTAAAAGTACTTATTTTGATTAATTACTGATGTCTGTTAAAGGCTACATTTTTCAGTGAACAGCATCATATTAAAAGCAGTAGTTTTTCATCTGTGAAAAATGTAGCTTATTGCATGTGATCTGGAAAGAGAAAACTATTTATGGAATATATTCCAAATTATTTCTGGATTAAACAAATAAAGACCATCGTATAGCTATAATTAATAATACACCAATCCCATAATCTGAAACCTTTGTCATATATGTGGAATGAGTGAGTTTCTCCTCCTATTCTCAGGTAATTTAAAATTGTTTTATTATGCATTACCAACTGCACAACATGGGAGAGATATTGTCTCAGAACCTGATGTCTCTAACTCCAACATGCTGTAATGTGAGGGGTGTGTGTGGGGGGGTGGTGGTGGTGGATGGGGAGGTGGGGAATCCCAGTGACCCTGAATTGTAAATTGAGAGAAATAGGTTCCCTGTTCTTTGTAGTCTAAAATCTTGTTTTCCAGAAGAAAAGCTCTCCTTACCACTGAGTGTAGCATGGAAAGTATAAAACAGTGGTCCCCAATGTGGTGCCTGCGGGGACCTTGTTAGCCCTTTCTGTGCGCCCGCCAAGTGCGCATGGGCGGTGCCGGCCCCCTGGGTGCATGGCGTATGGGCAGCGTTGGCCCCAGAAGCGCAGCACATGGGCAGTGCCAGCCCAGGCGTGTGACATTTGGGCAGCCCTGCCCCTGGGTGCGTAGTGCAAGGGCTGTGCCAGCCCCGGGTGCATGGCATATGGGTGTGTGCAGCACAGGAGTGGCACTGGCCCCGGGCATGCAGCACATGGGCAGTGGCGGCCCTGCCCCGGGTGTGTGGCGAATGGGCTGTTCCAGCCCCGGTGCACAGCGTATGGGCAGCTGCACCCCTAAGCATGCAGCACAGGAGCAGTGCTGGCCCCGGGAGTACGGCACATGGGTGGCGCCAGCACCAGGCGCACGCCGTATGGGTGGCCCCAGCCCCGCCCCTGGTGCCTGGCACGTGAGTAGCCCTGCCCTGGGTGCCTGGCAGCCCCAAAAGGTTGGGGACCACTGGTATAAAAGAAATCCATTGTCTTGAGCAAAATTTAGATTTTTTAAAATTGAAAGTCCATGGATTCAGGAGATAATAATGTTAATGTGACATAAGGGAACTTTAGCTACTGAAAGGGGCTACATGCCGCTGACCAAGCTTGGGAAAACAAACAAATAACAACATCTTGCTTTCTGTGCAGTGCCATTTCCATGGAAAAGCACTCGGGAAAAACTAACACACATGCAAAAACACAGGCACACACACACAAAACCTCCTCTCACTACTGTTGCCATCTCACATAGGAACACCTTGTATAAGAAATGGCTTCAAATTACCAGTAACTTCAAGTACATAAGAGCATAACAGCCATAATGGGTCAGACCAAAAGTCCATTTAGGCCAGTATCCTGTCTGCCAACAGTGGCTAATGCCAGATGCCCTAGAGTAAGTGAACAGAACAGGTAATCATCACGTGATCCCTCTCCTGTGACCTATTTCCAGCCTCTGATAAACAGAGGCTTGGGACACCATTCCTACTCATCCTGGCTAATAAGTATTGATGGACCTAACCTCCAAGAATTTATCCAGCTCTTTTTTGAAGTATTTTTGATAACTGCACAGGATAGAAACATCCTTTAATCTGAAAATGTTGATCAAATCTATTATTGTGCTTGCGGAAATTATGGAGGGGTAAATTAACTTCTGAAAATGGAATTTACTGATGTATTCTGTAAATATCTAAGTCTAAGATCAGGAAGAAACCCCAATCTTTTCTCTGTATTAGAAATTATGTTGAATAGAAACCCCTGATCACAAAGTGGTATAGGTACCTTCTTAGCAAGTCTCTGGGGAAGCTTGAGAATTTCCATTTATAAAAGCCCCTTCTTAGGAAGGGTCCTGAAAAGTGAAGGGCAGGGGAAATTAGATGCAGGGGGAAGGGGTCAGTGCAGAAGTCACCCAGGGAATCATTACTGTCAGACAACTGCTGAAAGCACTGGTCTATACCAAACCAGCCAAGCTGGTCTAGGGTATGCAACTCTAGTTATACAAAATGCATCATTGGAGTCATCTTACCTTAACCAAGCCATGGTGGCACTCACACAGCAGGAGCCCAGTGGCAACATACTCTCCTGTTGGTTTCCCTTACTACTCACAGAAGGGGCAGTAATGGACCCCAGTGGGGGCTGCCCTCAGCATTTGATTTAGGGGTATATATTAGACCCACTAAATCAAACGCTAGAAGATCGACCTCCAGAGTGTAAGTCTTTTCATAAGTGTAGTCATGCCCAGAGAAACGTGGCAGAAGGCTACTATTCACAGAGTCCCTGGGCTGGGAGTCGATGTAGAGGACAATTCCTGTCCCTGAACCCTCCACACATTCCTCTGAAGAAAGTGGCTAATGTAAGGGCTCCCATGAACCTCAGAGGCAAGGAGTCTATCTGAAAGAGCTTGACTTATAAAGGCAGGGAAATAAGTTTGTCCCAGTTCAATATGTAAAATTGTGTTCTCGTACCTGAGTTCTCCAGCAGTTCTAATTTCTTCTCCATGTGACTAATTTCCAAGTTGGGCTCTGAAGTTAAGAGTTTCTTCTCTAGGAGATCTTTCCATTGCTGCAGCTCATTTCTGGTGGCAAACTGCACGCTGTCTATTGTTTGGAGTTTTCTTTCTATTTCCTGAGAAACTTTTTGATCAATGCAGGACAACTGGGTAATAAGATGTTTAATTTGATTTTGTAGCTGGGTTTCTGAACGTATTTGGACTTTACTTAATTTTTCATCCAATAGCTTCTCTATTGCCTGCAGATTATTTTGTGTTTCCACTTTTGACTGCTCTTCCATCTTCTTTTCTAATAGTCAGGAAGCAATTTTTAAAAAAAGAGTTTATTTTGATCAATTACTAATGTCTGTTAGAAGGTACATTTTTTCTGTGAGAGGGGTAAGAGAATAACCCAGTTCTTGAATGAACAGCATAATATTGAAAGCAATAGCTTTACATCTGACTAAAGACAGAAGATGAGACAACACACTTATGCTTTACGAAAATTGGCTTCTGAATTAATATATGTAACTCAATGATGCTTTAGACAAAATGCATACGTTAAAACCTGCTGAATATGTGAATTCTGTTTTGAGCATGCAGCATTCTTGTATATGAAGTTAGAAATATGAAGTGTAGATCTGTTTATAATCCTATATATGCTAGCGAGGGCCATTACTGATATCCCAGAAACATAATGGCCCAGTGCTCAGGATTAAAACCTGTTTTGTTTTTCTTGTTCTTGATCATGTTAGTGTATGTAGCCAGGCCACCTGATCCTGGAACCCATTTTGTACATGATACTTTTCCACTCATGGTAAGAAAAAAACTGAACTGAGCAAAAAGAATTCCAGAGCTGGGCAAAAGAGAGAACCAAACAATACTCATAGTGTGCTGATGCCAGGAGACCCCCATTTATCATCCAAGATGCCTACTGGAAACATCTAAGACTGAACAGGGAGAAGGATCAGGCCCAAGCTAGGAGGCTCCCCAATGAAAAAGTTAATTAGAGCAACTTTTAAGGTAAGAATTTGCATGTAAAAAGTTTTAGTGTATTAGGGTTAACTGGTTTGATTTAACTGTAATCTGCCTCTTTTCAATTGCAAACACTTAAATCCTAATAAAACAATTTTGTTGATTATCAAGCACAGTGTAAACAACTATTACCTAAGAGGTAACAACCACTGTGAATCTTTCTCTTTCATTGATAAAGAGAGTTAACCTTAATACTTTCCTTGTGTAAAACTTTTACACAGAGTAAGGTAACTTTATTAGGATTTTGTTCCTATTTAAGTTTGTGTTCCCAGGTGCTGTCAATTCCCTGTAGTTGAGACCTCTCACTGCTGAGATGATTCAGTGTCTGTGTTACTATGCTGGGAGGTGGTGACCCCAACTCTGTGCCTTGACTGGGAAGATCAGAGCTTCTAGCCTACCAGCACAGGATTGTGGGGCATCCCAGAGGGCAGGTAGGTGGGCTTAGCGGTATCAACAGCACACCAGCTGACTCACAAGGGGCCCCTATGATTGAACTAATCACAGTCATCTGCTTACCATCATTTCTGATCCTGTTCTTGGTGAGAGTGTTTCTGTGGCCGAGTTCCTGACCGGTGGCTCCTGGTCTTGGGACAACTCTTGACTGGAGAATCAGGGTTTCTTGTCTGTTATCCTCACTCTGGGTTACTGCATGGATTCAGTAGAGCAGAGACCTTAGCACTCCAGTTGTCCTTTTTTGTTTTTTGTTTGGTTCAGGCATTATAGCACTGTTATATTAAATGTACTGTGTGGTTTTGTTCATCAACATCCTTTGTTTCAGTGTAATTCAAAAAGACACGAATCAAGGAGGGAAAATCCCAATTAACCTTAATTCTATTCCTGGAGAGGAATAGACCCGTAAGACCATCTCATCTATTTATTACTTGTCCACTGCTCATAGATTTGAAGGCCAGAAGAGGTCAATAGTTCACATTACCACCACTTGTTAGAATATTATTTTATTAAGCAATAACTATTCCTCTATTTTCTCAGCACCATTTCCTGTAACATCACAGAAGCAAATCTGCATCTTCAGGACTAGGCTGATCTTACTCCTATCCATGTAAGTGGAGAGAGCAGGAAGACTGCCCTACTACTGCCTCTGAGAACTGGGATAGTAGCTCAGCACCAAAGCAAGGAGAGAGAAGAGAAGAAGCTTTGCTATCTCACAGTGAGGTGGGGAGGCGCACTTATGTTTTAAAGATGACAATCACCCAACACTTTCCATTGACACAGGTGTGGAAAATGATCAACCTCTGTCCCACTAGAAAAGGGAAAGGAAAGACTTCGGCAGACACATGTTACTGTGGCAGTTGGGATTGTATGCCTGGGAGTGTTTGATCCTTTGTGTCCTTGATTCCCTTTTTCTGAGGTTTACAGGATCTTTCAAAAAAGCCTTCCCTTTTTGAAAGAATTGCGTCTAGACCGCTGTTTTTCTTTCGAAAGAGCGCTTTTTCAAAAGAGATCCATTATGTGATTATGCAAATGAAGAATGAGAAATTCAAATCCTGGCTTCATTTGCAATTTCTAAGTGCCTAATTTACATCCCTCTATCAAAAGAGGGATGTAATCTAGACACAGCCTAAGAGGAAGAATAACTGAAGAGAGTTGGCAATTTTACAAAGGGACATTATAAAGGGACCAAAAGCAAAGTATTCTGCTGTGCAGGGAAGAGAGAAAGAATGGTAAGAGACCACTTTGGCTTAAACAGGAGATCTTACATGATATCAAAATAAAAAAGAGTCATATAAAATGTGGAAGCTAGGTCCAATTACAAAGGATGAATATAAGTAAACAACACAGGTATGCAGGGGCAAGATTAGAATGGCAAAGGCATAAAACAAGGTCAATCTAGCTAGACACATATAGGGAAACAAGAAGACATTCTACAAATATATTAGAAGCAAGAGGAAGACCAAGGATAGGGTACGACCATTGCTCAGTGAAGACTGAGAAACAATAACGGGAAACTTTGCAATGATAGAGGTACTTAATGACTTCTTTGCTTGGCTTTCATTAAGAAGATAGATAGTGACAGGGTGCCTGACATAATGAATGCTAGTGGAAATGGGGTAGGTTTAGAAGTTAAAATAAGAGAACAAATTACTTAGTAAAGTTAGATGTCTACAAGTCACCAGGGCCTGATGAAATCATAGAATCATAGAACCATAGAGCTGGAAGAGACCTCAGAAGGTCATCAAGTCCAGCCCCCTGCTCTAGGCAGGACCAATCCCAACTAAATCAATCTGGCCAGAGCTTTGTCAAGCTGAGACTTAAAAACCTCTAGGGATGGAGACTCCACTACTTTCCTGGGTAACCCATTCCAGTACTTCATTACCCTCCTAGTAAAATAGTTTTTCCTAATATCCAACCTGGACCTCTCCCACCACAACTTGAGACCATTGCTCCTTGTTCTGCCATCTGTCACTACTGAGAACAGCCTTTTCAAACCCTCTTTGGAACCTCCCTTCAGGAAGTTGAAGGCTGCTATCAAATCCCCCCTCACTCTTTGCTTCTGCAGACTAAACAGACCCAACACTCTCAACCTCTCCTCATAAGTCATATGCTCCAACCCCTGAATTATTTTGGTTGCCCTCCGCTGTACCCTCTACAATGCGTCCACATCCTGTTTGTAGTGGGGGGCCCAGAACTGGACACAATACTCCAGATGTGGACTCACCAGAGCAGAATAAAGGGGAATAATGACATCTCTGGATCTGTTGGCAATGCTCCTCTTAATGCAACCTAATATGTCATTAGACTTCTTGGCTACAAGGGCACACTAGAAATACATCCTAGAATTCTCAAGGAACTGATAGAGGAGGTATCTGAGCCATTAGCTATGACCTTTCAAAAATCATGGAGGTCAGGAGAGATTCTAGAAGACTGAAAAAGAGTAAATATAGTACCCGTCTATAAAAAGGGAAATTACGACAACCCAGGGAACTACCGAACAGTCAGTTTAACTTCTCTGCTAGGGAAGATAGTGAAGCAAGTAATGAATGCATCCTAGAATACTCAAGGAGCTGATAGAGGAGGTATCTGAGCCTCTAGCTGTCACCTTTGGAAAATCATGGGAGATAGGAGAGATTCCAGAAGACTGGAAAAGGGAAAATATAGTGCCCATCTATAAAAAGAGAAATAATGAATGCCTGGCTGTGAAGATGGTGTTGCCAGGAGGTCTTTGGCTTCCTCGACCATGGGATGCTATTTCAGGAAGGACTGCTAGGCAGAGATGACATTCACCTTGAAAACCGACTGGCTAACCAAGTGACAAGGGCTTTCAAGTAGGTTTGATGGGGACAGGTGAGCAAAGCCCACGGGTAAGTGGAGAACATGGAGATCTGGGAAATGGGAGGGAGTGTGAGCTATAGTGGCAGAGAGAGAGGAGGGTCAGGGCAAAACTGGGAGGAAAGTTCAAATCAGTATCTTAGATGCCTAAATACAAATGCGAGAAGTATGGGTAATAAGCAGGAAGAACTGGAAATGCTAATAAATAAATACAACTATGACATTGTTGGCATCACAGAAACTTGGTGGGATAATGCACATGATTGGAATGTTGGTATGGAAGGGTACAACTTGCTCAGGAAGGGTAGACAGGGAAAAAAGGGAGGAGGTGTTACCTTATATATTAAAAATGTACACACTTGGGCTACGTCTACACTGGCCCCTTTTCCGGAAGGGGCATGTAAATTTCATGAGTCGTAGTAGGGAAATGCGCGGGGGATTTAAATATCCCCCGCGGCATTTAAATAAAAATGTCCGCCGCTTTTTTCCGGCTTTTAAAAAAGCCGGAAAAGAGCGTCTACACTGGCCCCGATCATTCGGAAAAAGTGCCCTTTTCTGGAGGATCTTATTCCTACTTCAAAGTAGGAATAAGATCCTCCGGAATAAGGAATAAGATCCTCCGGAAAAGGGCACTTTTTCCGGAGGATCGGGGCCAGTGTAGACGCTCTTTTCCGGCTTTTTTAAAAGCCGGAAAAAAGCGGCGGACATTTTTATTTAAATGCCGCGGGGGATATTTAAATCCCCCGCGCATTTCCCTACTACGACTCATGAAATTTACATGCCCCTTCCGGAAAAGGGGCCAGTGTAGACGAGCCCTTGGACTGAGGTGGAGATGGACATAGGAGACGGAAGTGTTGAGAGTCTCTGTTTTTATGAAAATTCATCTACACTGATTGCATAGCTGAAGCTGAAATAGCTTTTGGCTGTCTCTCCCCAGAAGGAAGTCGAAGGAAGAACACTTTCTCCGACTTCCCTTACTCATCATGAAAGCAGGGTTACAGGAGTTGCAGTAAGAAGTCCTCCAGCTTTACATTACTTTGAAATAATGGCTTGTTGTGTAGATGTGCACTATGTTATTTCAAAATAACCTCAGTTTTTCCAAAATAAGGCTGCTGTGCAGACATACCCTCAGTGATGTTTGGAGACACCCTTATCCTGATCAATGTGTTTTGAAAATGAAAATCACCCATAACTTTCCATGCAGCTAAGTATGGAAAATGATCAACCTTTGTCCCACTGGGAAAGAGGAAGGAAAGACTTTGTTAAACACATGTGGGAAAAAGGGAAGAAACGGTCAAGAAGAGACCGACAGACAGAGAGAAGGGGCAGACATCTCTCTCCTGTACTCTGCAATGATCCTTTCAGAGCAGGCACACAATACAATGAAGCACATGGGGTTTCCTAATGGTCCTATCCCAAGTCTTACAGTACAACTAGGACAGGCAAAGATAGTCCTTAGTCAGTGGGGCAGCAGGGGACATGATCGAACTGCGGAGGCCTGTGCTGGAGGGGGAAATGTCTCAGCACAGCCTAATGGGATGAAGTGGTATTTCCTGGTATCTGTCAACTCTGGGCTGGGAACCAATATTAGTGTCCAGATAGCTGCCACTACTAGTCTCCCAAGAACAAAGACTTCAGCATTGATCCAAGTACAGGGAATGGGACAGTTAACTTAAGATGATATATTCAACGATACTTACCTAGGGCCTCAAAAAGAAGCGTTTTGTCTCGGACGTTGCCTTCCAGATCACATTCTTTCTCTTCATCTGAAAGAAAAAAAACTCTTTACTCCGTTTTATTGTCTTCATTGTTTTTATAAATCACAGTTCTTAAAAGAACAAATGCCTGCTGTTCAAGCGGGATTAGCTGCTGTAATTAACAATAAAAATGATGGAAGCTGAAGCTTCTCAGCATCTTTGTTAACAAGCTGTAAGATTTTTTTCTGGCAAGTGATTGCTCTGTTTTAAAATCTGGTTCATGCACTTGAGCTACACTAAGGGAAGGCTGCATTCAGTCTTCAGTGGAGGTGCCGGTGACTCATGGATCCAGTGAGAGGATGACTGGTACCATGCTGAAGTAGTATTGGATGGAGGGGAAGATGAGTTTTTCACATATTCACCCTTGACCTCTTCAAGTCTCATTCCTGATTCCCTAGGGCTACGTCTACACTGGCACCCTGTAGCCAGACAGCCCCTCCCCCCCATCATCCATCTTATTTGCCTCTCTGAAGCATACAGGTCAGAGAAGGAGCAGTAAAATCAGCATAGTCTATGCTGGCTCATCTGATCCTGAGAAGCTGAAAAAAACAGATATGTGGAGAGAGAGCGATTAAGGCAATCAGCATAGCCATTAAGCTTTGATCTGCTTTGATGCAAGATCAGGATATGCGAGTCTGCCCCGGCTGGCACCCATGTTGATTCGAACACACACACAGTCCCTGGGAGAGGAATTTCCCACTGAGAAAAGAATCCCCAGTAATTCCAATTTAGTTATCTCTCTTACAAGTGTAAATTAAGTTCACAACTCCCTTGTAAGAACTGGTCTCACAAAAGACAGACCAGCCCCATTTGGCATGACAGACAAGAAAGAGAAATACGTGACCCCATGGGTATAAAAGATGGGCCCAGCACACACTCACTTTGAGTGTCATTCTACCCTCTACCTGCTGGTCGGGTTAGGTGTTTGACCTCCCGAGGTTCTATGGGGACGCCCACCTCGTATTTTCGTCTTTCCTAGGAATTGAGGGACCGGCCCTGGCCTGACATGCTGGAGTCGAGAGGCACAGAAGGGGGTAAAAATGGTACCTGGATGTGGTCCTCTGTCTTAAGTGTACACATAGAAAGAGTAAGCTGTTACTTGGTACCATTATTTCTATTTTTCTATCTTTATCTTCTTTGTAACCATTTTAAGACCTATATTTTGCTAATAGTTAAGAAATAGAACAATAGCCATTGCAACCAACGAATAAAAGAATCGATAGGAAGTACTTTGCACACTCTCTTTTGAGTGTCATTCTACCCTCTACCTGCTGGTCGGGTTAGGTGTTTGACCTCCCGAGGTTCTATGGGGACGCCCACCTCGTATTTTCGTCTTTCCTAGGAATTGAGGGACCGGCCCTGGCCTGACATGCTGGAGTCGAGAGGCACAGAAGGGGGTAAAAATGGTACCTGGATGTGGTCCTCTGTCTTAAGTGTACACATAGAAAGAGTAAGCTGTTACTTGGTACCATTATTTCTATTTTTCTATCTTTATCTTCTTTGTAACCATTTTTAAGATCTATATTTTGCTAGTAGTTAAGAAATAGAGCAATAGCCATTGTAACAATATGATTTATAAGCTTCCTCAATAAACCTGTAACTGTTTAAGCTTTAACCTGACTCCTTCAGTTGCTGTAATAGAATCAAGCACAATTTAAAAGAACTTCAGCTAGTCATAAAGTGACAGTTATAGGAAGAGCTTGGGCGTTTGGATCTGTGTCACTCCCAGGTGACAGGGTCCACTGGGGCACTTCTCAGTCTTTCCTGGACTGCCCGCTGCGAAGGAATTATGAATTCTAGCAGCTAAAACCTGAAGTGTAATAAGCTCTTCCTGTACACTTATTGGGGCGCCCTTCAACCTCTTACAGGTTGCCCACTGCAAGGGACCCCGGTCTCAGCAGTTGAAGTCTCGGGTGTATAGTACACACACACACACACACACACACACACACACACACTCACTCCCCTGACCGTTGGCTGACACACCCTTTTCCGGAAATGCTTAAAACGAAACAGTTTTCCGTTATAAGTATTTCTGGAAAAAGCGCATCAACATAGGTAGGAAGATTTTCCGGAAAAGCACTTTTTCCGGAAAAGCGTTGGTGGCCTATGTAGACGCGCTTTCTGCAAAAAAGCCCCGATCGTCATTTTCGCAATCAAGGCTTTTTTGCCGGAAAGAATACTGTGCTGTCTACACTGGCCCTTTTCCGGAACAGTTTTTCTGGAAAAGGACTTTTGCCCGAATGAGAGCATCATAGTTTTTCTGGAAAAACACAGACAATTTTACAGTAGATCGTCATTGCTTTTCCGGAAAAACAAGCGGCCAGTGTAGACAGCTGGCAAGTTATTCCGGAAAAGCGGCTGCTTTTCCGGAACAAGTGGCCCGGTGTAGACACAGCCCAAAAGCTTAATGGCCCAATACCCAAGGTTACCATCTTTGGATGGTTTTGTTTTTTTTTTCTGGTAAACCTGGATTGTTCTTGGCCATGCCAACATAGGTGCCTGGGCCACCTGATGCTGGAACTCATTTTGGATCTGCTACTTTTCAAGTCAAGGTGAGAAAAATCTGAACTGAACACAAAGAATTCCCACCTTGGGCAAAAAGCATATTAAGGCACAGGAAGATTCACACAATACTTGTAATGGGCAGATACCAGGGAATCAACCCCCTTTTATTACCCAAGATGCCCGCTGGAAACATCTAAGACTTAAGAGGGAGAAGGAATGATTCCAAGCTCAGCGGCTGCCTTGCTTGCGAAAGAGAAGATTAGAGTAACAGTTTGCATGTGACAAGTTTCTTAGAGTATTAAAATTAGCTGGTGTCTTTTGTTTATTTAGGAACAGTAATTTGTTTTGATACGTTTGTTTTCACTTAAAATCTCTTAAATCCTACTTTTTATACTTAATAAAAACACTTTTATTTAGTATCAAGCCCAGTGTAAATAATTGTTTCCTGGGGAGTGTTGAATCAACCACTACACATAATTGTCTTTCATTAATAAAGGGGAAAAATCTTAAGTGCTTTCTCTGCATAAAGCTTATACAGAGTAAGACAGGTTTGTTGAGGGTTTGGTCCTGTTTTGAGATGTGTTCCTAGGTGTTGGCAATGGTTTATAATGAAGCCCTCTCACAGCCAATTGGTACAATGTCTGTGTCTCTCTGCAGGGAGGCGATTACCCCAAATCTGTACCTTGGCTGGGGAGACCAGAACTTGTGACCCAGTAGGACAGGGTGATCAAATTCATCATGGTCATCTACTTACCATCGTTTCTGGGAATGAGTTCCTGAGCTGGGGCTTCTCGGCTCCTGGCAATTTGGAGTGTTTCTCGTCTGTTAACCTCATTCTGGTTTCCTGCATGGAGAGAGTACAGTAGAGACATCTGCATAGCAGCTGTACCCTCTTGTTCAGTGCTTGGGTCCAGCCTTCTTGCAACTGTTATGCTAAAAGTATGGAGTCATTTGTTTCATTAGCATCCTTTTTTTTCAGTGTATCATTGTGATGGGGTTACTGTAGGGAATGTTGAAGTGGGTCTGGCCCACGAAAGCTCATCGCCTAATAAACCAACTTGTTAGTCTTTAAAGTACTGAATAGTCCTGTCTTTTGTTTCACCATTTACCTGGTTTTTTAATATAGGTACGTGAGAGATTTTTCTCTGTGAAGCAATTTTCATGTCTTCTCCATATTTTATAAAGGCACCTCAAAAGGAGAGGTAAATTCACAATTTTATTTCTTATCTCATCATTTAGACTATGCCCTGGCAGAGACCATAGGATTAGAGGAGGAAGTTCTGGTGAATCATTGGCGTGGAATGCTCCATTGCATGGGCAAGAAGTGGCTACTGGCAATTAAGAAAATGAATGAAAGAACCTCCTCCGTTGAGCACTGGGGATGGAGTTGTGGGGAGGACCCAGCGATGCTACAGCAGCTCATTTTAAATGGGAGATAAGAGACACAGACTGCACGCATTCCTTCCTCTCTATTTTGTCAGGAGGATCCCCAACACATTTCTCTCCTCATATTGATTGATATTTTGAGCAACAGCATCTTAAAGGGGACCCTATGGCTTACATAACTACTGTTCTGCAGCATTGGATGAAATGCTCCATCACTGTCCCCCAGAGGTACCTCAGTTCTGGCCCAAATGGAGAGTTTGGGGATGACTAAATATGACGAGATGATCTATTCAGTTCTACTAAAATGACTTTTGCTATCAAAAAACTGTCATGCGGCCTCTGACAGGAGTTGGGCCAACAGGATTCCTCTGATTCTTGTAGTTTGCTGATCACTTGAAAAGACTCTAACTCAGTCGTTCTTATATGTCTATTCTTCATTAAGTACTGATGACAGAATAATCAATGTTTTGTTTTCAGATCTACTGAGTTTTCACACATGCCAATGAAATCAATGGGAAATACTGGTCTCAAAAAGTCTACCCATAGGCTCAAATTTAGTTCATTTCATTGGCAAGGCAGTGCAGGACAGACAACACATCACAGAGTGGAAGAACAGTCATTTCTGAAACTCAATCTCTCCCCTAAATGTAGTCAAGGAGTATGTGACCACGGACTTTATAGTAGCAGTAAAGAGCCCAATATTAGATAGAAGGACAGCACTTTGTCTCTTCAGTGTGTGTGAAGGGCAAACTGACACATTTTGAAGGCTGAGAGATACACACATCTGTGTTCATGAGAGTGTGTGTGAAGGGCAAACTGACACATTTTGAAGGTTGAGAGATGCACACGTCTTGTTTATGAAAATAGAGAAACTCACCTGCCTGCAACTGATGCTGCACCTGTCCTTCAGGCTGGGCCTCAGCTGCATTTCCTGTAATGGAATAGCCAATAAGACCTATTCATCTATTTACTACTTGTTAGTTATTCATGGATTTGAAGGACAGAAGAGGTCATAAGTTCACATTACCACTACTTGCAACATTTTTATTTTATTAAATAATCATTATTCTTATATATTAAAAATGTATACATTGGACTGAGGTGGAGATGGACACTGGAGACAGACTTGTTGAGAGTCTCTGGGTTAGGTTAAAAGTAGTGAAAAACAAGGGTGATGTCATGCCAGGGGTCTACTACAGACCAACTATCCAGGCATATGGTGGATGAGACTTTTTTAAAACAACTAACAAAATCAACCAAAGCACAGGATTTGGTGGTGAGGGGGGACTTCAACTATCCAGACATATGTTGGGAAACTAACACAGCGGGGCACTTATTATCCAATAAGTTATTGGACTGAATTGGAAACAATTTTTGATTTCAGAATGTTGAGAAAGCTAGTAGGAGGGAAGCTGTTCTAGATTTGATTTTAATAAGCAGGGAGGAACTGTTTGAAAGTTTGAAAGTGGAAGGCAGCTTGAGTGAAAGCGATCATGAAATCATAGAGTTCATAATTCTACCATTCCTTAGAAGGAAGAAGAGCAATATAGAGACAATGGATTGAAGGAAGGCAGATATGAGTGAACTTAAAGAGCTGGTAGGTAAGGTCCCATGGGAGACAAAACTAAGAAGAAAAAAGAGAGTTGGCAGTTTTTGCAAAGGGACTGGCAGTTTTATCAAGGGCCCAAAAGCAAACTATTCAGCTGTATAGGAAAGATAGAAAGTATGGTAAGAGACCACCTTGTCTTAACCAGGGGATGTTACATGATATCAAAATAAAAAAGGAGTCAAATAAAATGTGGCAGCTAGGTCAAATGACAAAGGATGAATATAGGCAAATTACACATGTATGCAGAGGCAAGATTAGAATGGCAAAGGCACAAAACAAGCTCAATCTAGCTAGATACATAAAGGGTGCATCTAGACTGGCAAGGTTTTGTGCAAAAGCAACTGCTTTTGCGCAAAATCTTGACGCCTGTCTACACTGGCCATGAGTATTTGTGCAAGAACACTGACTTTGTACTATACAAAATCAGTGGTTCTTGCGCAAATACTCCAACGTTCCCACTCAGGGATAAGCCCTCTTGTGCAACTATTCTTGCGCAAGAGGGCCAGTGTAGACAGCCAACTTAATTTATTGCGCAAGAAAGCCCGATGGCTAAAATGGCCATTAGAGCTTTCTTGCGCAAGAGAGTGTCTATACTGGCACTGATGCTTTTGCGCAAAGGCACATGCCAGTATAGACGCTCTCTTGCACAAATACTTTTAACAGAAAATCTTTTCCGTTAAAAGTATTTGTGCAAAATCATGCCAGTCTAGACACAACCAAAGGGTAATAGGAAGACATTCTATAAATAAATTAGTAGCAAGAGGAAGACCAAGGACCGTGTAGGACCATTGCTCAGTGGAGAGGGAGAAACAATAACAGGAAACTTGGAAATGATAGAGGTGCTCAATGACCTCTTTGTTTCAGTTTTCATCAAGAAAGGGGATGGTGACGGGATGTCTGCCATAGTGAATGCTAGCGGAGTTGGGTAGAGTTAGAAGTTACAATAAAAGAATAAGTTAAAAATTACTTAGAAAAGTTAAATGTCTGAAAGTCACCAGGGCCTGATGAAATGCAACCTAGAAAACTCAAGGAACTGATAGAGGAGGTATCTGAGCCTTTAGCTATGACCTTTGAAAAATCATGGAAGTCGGGAGACATTCCAGAAGACTGGAAAAGGGCAAATATAGTGAAAATAAGGGAAAATAAGAACAACCTAGGGAATTACAGACCAGTCAGTTTAACTTCTGTGCCAAGGAAGATATTGGAGCAAATAATTAAGGAATTCATTGGCAAACACCTGGAAGATAATAGAGTGATAGGTAACAACCAGCATGGATTTGTAAGGAACAAATCGTGTCAAATCAATCTGATAGCTTTTTTGAAAGGATAACAAGTCTTGTGGATAAGGGAGAAGTGGTGGATGTGGTATACCTAGTCTTTAGTAAGGCATTTGATACGGTCTCGCATGAGTATCAAGAAACTAGGCAAATACAACTTAGATGGGGTTGCTATATAAGGTGGGTGCGTAACTGGCTGGCAGAGAGTAGTGATCAATGGTACACAGTCATGCTGGAAGGGCATAAAAAGTGGGGTTCCATGGGAGTCTGTTTTGGGACTGGTTCTAATTTATATCTTCATCAATGATTTAGATGACTGCACAGAGAGTACGCTTATTAAGTCTGGAGATGATAGCAAGCTGAGAGAGCTTGCAACTGCTTTAGAAGATAGGGGCATAATTCAAAGTGATCTGGATAAACTGAAGAAATTGTCTTACATAAATGGGATGAAGTTTAATAAGGACAAATGCAAAGTACTTAGGACAGAACAATCCATTTCACACATACAAAATGGGAAGAAACTGACTGAGAAGGAGTACTGCAGAAAGTGATATGTGCTTCACAGCGGACCAAAAGCTAAATAAGAGTTGTAAGTGTGACACTGATGCAAAGAAAGCCAACATGATTCTGGGATGCATTAACAGGAGTGTTGTGAGCAAGACACGAGATGTCATTCTTCTGCTTTACTCTGCACTGATTAGGCCTCAACTGGAGTATTGTGTCCAGTTCTGGGCACCACATTTCAAGAAAGATGTGGAGAAGTTGGAGTAGGTCCCAGAGAATAGCAACAAAAATGATTAAAGGTCTAGAAAACATGAGCTATGAAAGAAGACTGAAAGAATTATGTTTGTTTAATTTGGAAAAAATAAGAGTGAGAAGGGACATGATAGCAGTTTTCAAGTAACTAAAATGGTGTCCCAAGGAAGAGGGAGAAAAATTATTCTCCTTGGCCTCAGAGGTTAGAACAAGAAGCAATGGGCTTAAACTGCAGCAACAGAGGTTTAGATTGGACATTAGGAAAAACTTCCTAACTGTCAGGGTGGTTAAACACTGGACTAAATTGCCTAGGGAGCTTATAGAATCTCCATCACTGGAGATATTTAAGAGCAGGTTATATAGACATGTATCAGGAACGATCTAAACGGTGCTTGGTCCTGTCATGAGGGCAGGGGACTGGACTCAATATCTTGAGGTCTCTTCCAGTTCTAGTATTCTAGAAATCTAGGATTCCATGATTTTATTTTCTCAGCAACATTATTAGTAACATCAGCAACAAACAGCTCAGCGCTTGAATCTCCAAAGAAACAGTTTCAGCACACAGTTTTTTTCAGGCAACCAGCAAATAACCCCCAAACACAAACATACACATTCCACACAGCCACTTACCTCTAGAGTCCTGTAATCGCTCCTTCTCCACCTGGTGAACTCCCTTACATAACTCCCTGTTAGCTGCCTCTGTTAGCAAAGGTGAATACATCACATTCAGAATTGCGTCTTCAGAGCTAGGCTGAGCTCACTCCCATCCTTGTAAGCGGAGAGAGCAGGAAAAATGCCCTATTACTGACCATGGGGACTGGGATTGTCGCTCAGCACCAAAGAAAGGGGATAGGAAAGAAGTTCTCCCAGCACATGTTCTTCACTGCAGAGCAAAACTTGAATCAAGCTATGAAAATTCATCTACACTGATTGCATAGCTGAAGCTGAAATAGCTTTTGGCTGTCTCTCCCCAGAAGGAAGTCGAAGGAAGAACACTTTCTCCGACTTCCCTTACTCATCATGAAAGCAGGGTTACAGGAGTTGCAGTAAGAAGTCCTCCAGCTTTACATTACTTTGAAATAATGGCTTGTTGTGTAGATGTGCACTATGTTATTTCAAAATAACCTCAGTTTTTCCAAAATAAGGCTGCTGTGCAGACATACCCTCAGTGATGTTTGGAGACACCCTTATCCTGATCAATGTGTTTTGAAGATGAAAATCACCCATAACTTTCCATGCAGCTAAGTGTGGAAAATGATCAAACTTTGTCCCACTGGGAAAAAGGAAAGAAAGACTTCGGCAGACACATGTGGGAAAAAGGGAAGAAACGGTCAAGAAGAGACCGACAGACAGAGAGAAGGGGCAGACATCTCTCTCCTGTACTCTGCAATGATCATTTCAGAGGAGAGACACTATAGAGTGAAACACGTGGGGTTACATAATGGTCTTATCCCAAGTCTCACAGTTCAACTAGGACAGGCAAAGATAGTCCTTAGTCCGTGTGGCAGTAGGGAACATGGTCCAACTACAGAGGCCTGTGCTGGAGGGGGAAATGTCTCAGCACAGCCTAATGGGATGAAGTGGTATTTCCTGGTACCTGTCAACTCTGGGCTGGGAACCAATATTAGTGTCCAGATAGCTGCCACTACTAGTCTCCCAAGAACAAAGACTTCAGCATTGATCCAAGTACAGGGAATGGGACAGTTAACTTAAGATGATATATTCAACGATACTTACCTAGGGCCTCAAAAAGAAGCGTTAGCATACTGTGGGGCCAGTGCTTGGTCCTGTCATGAGGGCAGGGGACTGGACTCAATATCTTGAGGTCTCTTCCAGTTCTAGTATTCTAGAAATCTAGGATTCCATGATTTTATTTTCTCAGCAACATTATTAGTAACATCAGCAACAAACAGCTCAGCGCTTGAATCTCCAAAGAAACAGTTTCAGCACACAGTTTTTTTCAGGCAACCAGCAAATAACCCCCAAACACAAACATACACATTCCACACAGCCACTTACCTCTAGAGTCCTGTAATCGCTCCTTCTCCACCTGGTGAACTCCCTTACATAACTCCCTGTTAGCTGCCTCTGTTAGCAAAGGTGAATACATCACATTCAGAATTGCGTCTTCAGAGCTAGGCTGAGCTCACTCCCATCCTTGTAAGCGGAGAGAGCAGGAAAAATGCCCTATTACTGACCATGGGGACTGGGATTGTCGCTCAGCACCAAAGAAAGGGGATAGGAAAGAAGTTCTCCCAGCACATGTTCTTCACTGCAGAGCAAAACTTGAATCAAGCTATGAAAATTCATCTACACTGATTGCATAGCTGAAGCTGAAATAGCTTTTGGCTGTCTCTCCCCAGAAGGAAGTCGAAGGAAGAACACTTTCTCCGACTTCCCTTACTCATCATGAAAGCAGGGTTACAGGAGTTGCAGTAAGAAGTCCTCCAGCTTTACATTACTTTGAAATAATGGCTTGTTGTGTAGATGTGCACTATGTTATTTCAAAATAACCTCAGTTTTTCCAAAATAAGGCTGCTGTGCAGACATACCCTCAGTGATGTTTGGAGACACCCTTATCCTGATCAATGTGTTTTGAAAATGAAAATCACCCATAACTTTCCATGCAGCTAAGTATGGAAAATGATCAACCTTTGTCCCACTGGGAAAGAGGAAGGAAAGACTTTGTTAAACACATGTGGGAAAAAGGGAAGAAACGGTCAAGAAGAGACCGACAGACAGAGAGAAGGGGCAGACATCTCTCTCCTGTACTCTGCAATGATCATTTCAGAGGAGAGACACTATAGAGTGAAACACGTGGGGTTACATAATGGTCTTATCCCAAGTCTCACAGTTCAACTAGGACAGGCAAAGATAGTCCTTAGTCCGTGTGGCAGTAGGGAACATGGTCCAACTACAGAGGCCTGTGCTGGAGGGGGAAATGTCTCAGCACAGCCTAATGGGATGAAGTGGTATTTCCTGGTACCTGTCAACTCTGGGCTGGGAACCAATATTAGTGTCCAGATAGCTGCCACTACTAGTCTCCCAAGAACAAAGACTTCAGCATTGATCCAAGTACAGGGAATGGGACAGTTAACTTAAGATGATATATTCAACGATACTTACCTAGGGCCTCAAAAAGAAGCGTTATGGCTGACCTAGAACAACGTTTCCTCAACTCCCGTCCCCTTTCACCCCTCCTCTACCTACGGTACATCGATGACATCTTTATGATCTGGACACATGGCCAAGAAACACTGGAGATATTCCACAGAGATTTCAACAACCTACACCCCACCATCAACCTCAGCCTGGACCATTCTACACGAGAGATCCACTTCCTGGACACCACCGTACAAATCAACAATGGAAAATTAGACACCACTCTCTACAGAAAACCCACTGACTCATACAGTTACCTACATGCATCCAGCTCCCATCCAGAACACACCACACGATCCATCGTCTATAGCCAAGCCCTTCGATACAACCGCATCTGCTCTAACCCCACTGACAGAGACCAGAAGCTTCAGGATCTCTACCAAGCATTTATAAATCTCAACTACCCACCCAGAGAAATAAAAAAGCAAATTGAAAGAGCCAGACGAATACCTAGAAACCATCTACTTCAAGACAGACCCAAGAAAACCAACAATAGAACACCACTTGTCATCACCTACAACCCCCAACTTAAACCTGTCCAACACATTATCAATAAACTACAGCCTATATTGGAACAGGATACCATACTCAAAGAGGCTCTGGGAGACAGACCCATAGTCTCCTATAGACAACCACCTAACCTCAAGATGATTCTTACCAACCACCACAGGACATACCACACTAATACCAACCCTGGTACCTTCCCTTGCAACAAACCCCGTTGCCAGCTTTGTCCACATATTCATTCTGCTGATACCATTATTGGACCTAACCAAGTGAGTTATAAGATCAAGAACACATATTCCTGCGCATCCAGAAATATAATTTATGCTATCATGTGCCGAAAGTGTCCGTCTGCTATGTACATTGGACAAACATCTCAGACACTTCGCCAAAGGATTAATGCCCACAAAACAGATATCAGACAAGATCACAAAGAGAAAACAGTTTCTTGCCATTTTAACCAGAAAGGACACTCTCTCAATGACTTGACCACCTGCATTCTGCTACAAAGACCTTTTACATCTGCACTTGAAAGGGAATCCTCTGAACTGTCATTCATGTTAAAATTCAACACTTGCCAACAAGGACTTAGTTCAAATGTTTGTTATCTCACCCATTACCAAGATAGTTTCCCCAATTATCACCTCTAATACCATTAACTCACAAACATCCCACTCTCCCTACCTCTAATATCATCAATTCACAGACACTTACCTTCCTTCCCCCTCCCCCCCACCGCATCCCCCTCCTGTTCTGCAATGTGATTTGTCCTTTTCATATTTGTTCATTTTTTTTAATTGTATCCTTTGGTATATATGGTTGTGACTACTTTCTTCCACTATTTGATCTGAGGAAGTGGGTCTGGCCCACGAAAGCTCATCATCTAATAAACCATCTTGTTAGTCTTTAAAGTGCTACATTGTCCTGCATTTTGCTTCAACTACCCCAGACTAACACGGCTACATTTCTATCACTATTAGATGATGAGCTTTCATGGGCCAGACCCACTTCCTCAGATCAAATAGTGGAAGAAAATAGTCACAACCATATATACCAGAGGATACAATTAAAAAAAATGAACACATATGAAAAGGACAAATCACATTTCAGAACAGGAGTCCTGCATTTTGCTTCAGCTACCCCAGACTAACACGGCTACATTTCTATCACTTTTCCAGCAGTAATGACTGTGGAGAAAAAGGGAATAGAGAAGAATCCTCATTTCTACCTTGGAGGGCTGCAAGTAACATCCCTATTGACACCTGAGGGGAACATACTTTAGTGGTGAGCAATGCGAGTGGCCTGGTGGATAAAAACCAGTACTGTCCTACTAATTATCTTAAATCGGATCCTTCTTTCTCAGCATCATGTAGAAGAGCTCAGCGGTTACCAGAACCTTTTATCTCTCCTAGCATCTCTCAACTCTGGGCTGGGAAACAATACTAGTATCCAGAGAGCTGCCACTACTAGTGTCCCATCAACAAAGACTTCAGCATTGACTCAGGGACAGGGAATGAGATATTTAACTTATGGTCATATGTTCCAGGACACTTACCTAGGGCCTCAAAAAGAAGCTTTTTGTCTCGGACGTTGCCTTCCAGCATTATTAGTTCACATTCTTTCTCTTCATCTGAAAGAAAAAAAATCTCTTTACTCTTTTTTATGGTCTTCATTATTTCTATAAATCACAGTTCTTAAAAGAACAAATGCCTGCTGCTCAAGCACGATTAGCTGCTGTAATTGACAATATAAGTGATGGAAGCTGAAGCTTCTCAGCATCTTTGTCATCAAGCTCTAAAAAATTTTTCTAGCAGGTGATTTTTAAAATCGGGTCCATGCACTTGAGCTACACTAAGGAGAGGCTGCAGTCAGTCCTCAGTGAAGGTGCCTGTGACTCCTGGATCCAGTAAGAGGATGACTGGGCCCATGTTGATATATTAGTGGATGGAGGGGATATTGGATGATGAGTTTTGCATATGGCCTGGTCAGCAAAGATAGTGAGCAGCTGGCCCCAGAAACTAGCATGAAACTGACAGGAACCAACATTAGGCATTGAATGGGGCACACAAGGGTGTGTCTAGACTACAGGGTTTTGTCGACAAAAGTGGACTTTTGTTGACAAAACTATACCTGCGTCCACACTACCGCTGAGTTCTGTCGACATAACGTCGACAGAACTTAGCAGTTTTGTCGACGCTGGCAAACCTCATTTTATGAGGCATAACGCCTTCTGTCGACAGAGTTCTGTCGACAGAAGGTGTTATTGCATGTAAACTGTCCTTTGCATCTAGACTACCATGTCGACAAAGCAGCTTGCTTTGTCGACAGAACTGAATGTAGTCTAGACGCTCTTTGTCGACAGAAGCTTTGTCAACAGTATCTGTCGACAAAACTTCTGTCGACAGAAGCCTGTAGTCTAGACGAACAAGTGACTCTGCTGATGAAACTGGTCTCAGAGAAGGCTTTGCATCATGACAGCTGGAGAAAGAATTCCTGGAGCTATTCTTGGAGGAGTTTTTTTATGCCGATCTGTGGCAAAACAGGCCCCCATGGAAACAGCAATAGATAGAGATAAGTGAGAAAATCCTCTTGAGCCTAGCAAGTTTTTGACACCCCTTTTGTGTGTTTTAATATGGGAATTGACTAATTTCTGTTCTGTGAACCAATGCATTGGATATTACAAGACCCACATAACATCACATATATGTTAATGGGAGACTGAAGGACAGAACCTTCAAGACCCACCCATCCGCACTTCTACATCATCACAATCCCATAGAATCAAAATGTGGACCAATAAACATAAACAATAAAAAAACCCAAAAACCTGACTTTTAATCCACTGCGTTGCTTTTCCACCCCTCAAGTGTTAACATGCAACCTGAGAAGGATGAATTATGCAGTGGGGGAGGGGAAGAGTTTCATGATAGTCCAGTTCTGATAAATGTAATTCATACATTCCATTTACTCCCAATTATGAAAGGGGGTTACAACTGGGTCCAGAAATGTGTCAGGAAGGAAAGGAGATGTCTCTGGAGTTATGTATTTGTATGTGTCCCTAACAGCCTATTTATGAAGCTTTGAGAGATAGCAAGCCATGCTGTTACTGCCTCTTATTCACTCCTGATAGGACCAGTTGATTGGAGCCTGTGACAGACCGGGCCATGTCTGGGCACAGCTGAGGGCATCTGCTCAGGGTGAATTGCTCAAATCCGGGGCTCCTTACAGCCTCCAGATTGGTGACCTTCCCAAACAGGCCACAAACCAGTCCCACAGAGCGCTTCAGCAGCCTGCCTGAAGCCTCACGAGCAAAACCCCTCCGATACCCCAGCAATATCCGTGCCCCAGATGGCCCCAGGCCTCATACACAGGTGGGGGGGGGTCCGGTTCCAAGAACCCAGCCACAGATCCCTGGTCAATTTACCCTCTGGACCTTACCCATAAATCACGCTGAGCCAATCCTTTAGAATCTATCCTCTAAAGGTTTATTACCACAAGAAAGAAAAGCATGAGAGTAAGGTTGCTAAAGAATCATACATTACATGCATTGAATCTCCCAGTTCTCGATAAAGGCTCTAGCAGAGATGTTACAACTGCTGGCTTAAAAGTCCTTGTTGCGCATCCTAGGATCAGGATGGGTCCACAGTTCTTCCTGGCTCTTCGATCCCTGCATTGCTGCCTCTGGGATGAAGTGCTGAGCTGAGTAACAAGATGGAGTCGACCACATGGCCTATTTATCCCTCCTTCCTGGTCTCTTCTTGGCTACAGCAGGTCACCTGGCCCATGGCCTATCCCTGTGTTCCCTGCTGGTAGCCCTTAGATATAAGTCACCACACTTGAGGTGTGTCCTTGGCCTATAGAGGGCTATTGTTCCAGAGCTTTGCTCATTAGCATGTCCATAGGCTGAGCTGCTTTGCCCATAGTTCAACCACATACAGAGAAACATTTGGTATCCACCCAAAATACATGCTTATATCTTCACATACCGACATTATACAATCACATGAATAGCATATGTGGAATCAGAAGAAAGTAGGCTTCTATTAGACACCTCACATGGCCCCCTTTGTGCCACTTTAGGGGCCAACACCCTCCCATGGGTGCAGCAATGATCTGGCTGCTCCCCTCAAAATTCAGTAACGTGACAGAGCCACATGATGGTTTGCCCTTCCCCCTACTCCCTTCCTCCTGGGATGTGACAGCTCACTTTGCCACAGAGCCATCTTGAAAAAATTACAAAACCCAACAATCCATCTTTCAAACATCATTGGCCCCGCTCCTTTAATCTGTAGAGAGGGCTATTGCTCTGAGGTTGACAGAGTACAAACACCCAGCTCTTTGATACAAGATATGAGGTGAAGCTGTAGGATGGGAAGTGGGGAGGAGAATCTTTGGGGCTTCAAGATTAAACTAGATGGGTTTATGAAGGGGATGGTTTGATGAGATAACATGATCTTGATAACTAATTGACCATTCATTATCAGTGGGAAATAGGTCAATGGAGGGATGATAGGAGTTACTACAGAGAACTTTCTGAGTGTCTGGCTGGTGAGTCTTGCCCACATGCTCAGGGTTTAGCTGATCGCCATATTTGGGAAGGAATTTTTCTCCTGGGTAGACTGGCAGAGGCCCTGGAGGTTTTTCGCCTTCCTCTGTAGCATGGGGTACAGATCACAGCTGGAGGATTCTCTGCATCTTGGGGTCTTCAAAGTATTTGAAGGCTTCAATACCTGAGATATAGGTGAGAGGATTATTCTGGGAGTGGGTGGGTGAGATTCTGTGGCCTGCATTGTGCAGGGGGCAGGCTAGATGATCATAATGGTCCCTTGCCATTGTGATGGGTGAAGTTCTGTGTCCCTTGATTACAGCACTCATAGCCATGAACCTGGCCTTGGGTGGGGAGAAGCAGCCATAAAATGTACCATTTGGAAGGGAACTCAGCTGTGACACCACTTCTGGATGCTCCCATGTCACCTAGGCACTGGTTGAGCTCAATGCGCAGGAAGAGTCTGGTGCTGGATATAGTGATAGAGGAGGTCCAGAAACTGTCAACTCCTGAAACTTTTGATGCAGCTCATGATCTCTTAGAGCTGACATTATCCCCAAGTCCAGAACTGGAGTCTGACACCACGCACCTCAGTTTTTCTTTGGAGCCCGTCCTGCACCCTTTATCATAACATCCTGTGTCAATTTTTATTCTGGCTCTGGCTCTGAATCTGGCACCAACACCTGCACAAGCACCTTCACTGACACTGGTACCAACACTGGCATGGAGAGCAATAAGCTCCACCTCCTGACCCCCCACTGCCTCTGGCAGTGCAGGGCCTCCAGTACCGGGACCTCCAGGGCAAGTGGCATATTTGCCGTACCCGGCACCACCTGCGCAATCAATGATTCCACTGTCAGTGGCCCACAGAGGACACCAGCAGCAATGGCACAAAACAAGCCATCATGTTGCTCACCAACACCATCCTTGGAACCACCAAGGTCAGCCTCAGATTCCTCCAAATCAGATGTGGAGTCTGTAGGCTCCTCGGCGATGGAGACTGAGATCGGTGCCTCAGAGAACAAGGTCCTTGTCAGTGCTGTAGCGTGTCTCAGTGCCATTTATGGTTCATGGACTGAGGCCGGCACACTCTGCACCACCGGTGCAGAGTCCAGTGCCGGCAGTTGAAGGGCAGACTCCATTAGAATGAGCTTCAATCAGGAATCATGTTCTCACTTAGTTCTTGGTTTTAAGCTCCTGCAAATTTGGCAACTATGTCTGAGATGGCCTTCCCCTAGACACTTTAAATAGGAGTCATGTGGGTTGCTGCAGGAAATAGCTTTCACATGGCTTGAATCCTTTTGGCCTGAGCATCCCTCGGTAGGAGGGGAGAAATAAAAGGAGAAAACTCCCCTAAGAACTAATCAACTATTAACAACCATTGCATATGTCTACACTAGCTCCCTATTTTGAAATAGGGAGGCTAATGTAGGCATTCGAAGTTGCAAATCAAGCCCAGGATTTAAATATCCTGCGCTTGATTTGCGTCTTCTCAGCTGGTCGCCATTTTTGAAATTTACAAGTCCGGACTAACTGCCCACGTCTACACGCGGCAGGGACCCGGTATTTTGAATTAAAGCCCTAAATCGAACTACCTGTTATTCCTCCTGCAAGGAGCAAGCACTCTAAGAAGAACCTACCAATTCTTCAATTTTAATATTTTGCTTCTTTGTGATCTGACTCTTACTACATGTTAATTTCCCTCTTTCTATCATTGACTTTTGGGGGTATCATAATGCGTGTTTGTATCCCAGGTTCTTCAACAGGGTTATAATCCTTGATTAGAACTTCAAGGCACTGCCGTAGCACACAGAAGTAATAGTACAGAGAGCAAGATCAGACTTATTAATAAATAGTAATTATTATACTTAGGTTATGTAACTTTTATCTGGCACTGAAGGATTACTTGGTTGTCCATTTGCATTTAGGTGAATGAAGATCTCACTCTTAGAAACTTATAATGTGAGTTAGGTAGTTAACTGAGTGTAAAATGATGACAGACACAGGTAGGAGATGAGTGAGGAAAGAAGAAAAGAAGATTCATGATGTGTGTGTGTGTGCACAAAAGATCATGAACAGACATTGTCCTCTCTGCCTGTCCCTATCCTCATACCCCCTTTTGCAAGGTAGACACAGAGCTACCATTCCTGAGGTTTAAAAATACAATTAATCTTTCTGTCTCTTAGTGCAGATTGGACCTCCCTGGCCTGGCACCCTCGGGACCTGGTCCTGGATGAGGGATTCTGCCAGACCTGGACCTAGATGAGGTCATTTCTGGCCCCCCCTGCCACAGCTCCCCTCAGCCTTGGCCTGCCCTGGTGGCCTCCTGGATGGCTCCCCACCTGATGTCTGCCCCGCTGACCAGGTGACCTCGCTGGGCAGCCACTGCTGCTGCAGCTCCTAGCTGCTTCTCCAACCCTGCAAGGCAGCCATGCACTATTCTGGCTTCTGACCCTGCCTGCTGGGCCACTGCTGCTGCTGCAGCTCACAACACCACCAGGCAGCAATGCACTGGGTCTCCCAGCCCGACCAGAGAGCCTCACCTGTAGCTTGCTATGGGCAGCCAGCTGCTCTGCCTTCTCCACAGGATACCCTGCTGCTGGCCCTCCACTGAGACTCTTTGGTTCTGTAACATCCGTGCCAGACCATGGATGTTCCTGGACCAGAAAGTCCCATTTTAAAGAGTTTTAGCCTGTAGTTACAATTTTATTTTTCTAAGTGATAGTTACAGTACTTACCATTTCTTCTGCTTGTCATGACTGGGTAAATTTTCTGCTCTGTTGACTCAATCAACACCACCCTCTGGAGTCAATACATAGTAAACAGGTTAACATATATTTATTGTAAAACTCTAGTGTTAAGCATTAGGAATGAAAAATTTGGACCAGAAGTCAGAATTCCAAACATTAAGTATAAATAAACATCACAGAATTTTATTAAACTACAGTAAAGAGTATAAACATGTACCAATAACTGAGTGGACAGGAGGAAGATATTTAACACAACCTTATATTAAAAATAATTGAAAACTGGGAGTTTCTGTGTAAAATTTACCTGTCCTATCACAGAGTTCAGCATCTAAACCAAACTGAAGGATTCTTTCTATCTCTGCTTGGGATCCCCTGCCAGGACCCACATGTGTAAACATTTCCAGCACATAGGGCTGATCTAGACTACTTTTTTTTTTTCAAAAGGAGAAATTTCTGCCCAAATTTGCATATCTTCTTCTGGTTTTTTTTAAAGGTTTTTCTGACATTTGGCCCATGTACACAGGGCCAAACATCAGAAAAAAAAGACTCTTTTGAAAGCCCCTGTGTAAACCTCAAAAGAGTGTGTTTTTCTGACATTTAACCTGTCTACATGGGGCAAAATATTGTAAAAACCTCTTTAGAAAAAAGGTGGAAGAAGATATGCAAATTCAGGTGGAATTTGCATATCTTCTTTTGACAAAAAAAAATATAGTCTAGATTATCTCACAGAGTCCTTTTCACTCTCTTGCTGGCTTAGTTCATGTTTGTTTGTCCAAATAGTGGCGACATCATTCACCACAGAGATAGGGAAATCCTATTTATGTTTCTTCTCCTCATCAGACTTAGGGAGAGACTGGGGTCTCCTACTTTCCGGGGGACACCAACTCTGGGCTAAAGCTTATAAGGGAAGTTTCCCTCTGCTCACTTTGCTATTTGGTGAGCTGGTTGGAATACCCTGAGCATTCTCTTGTGCTGTGCAGAATTCTCAGCTCACAATGTCCTGTGTAGCCAAGAAATTACAACACCTGAAATGGATACATATGTTCAAACTTTACCATAGACGGGAAAATACCACTTAAAACAGGAAACTAAATAACCATCTGCATGTGCTGTAAGCAAAGAGAAAATGATCAAAGTCTCAAACTGGGAGTTTATATTAAAACATCCTTTTTTCTTTTGAGTGGGCAGGAATTGCTGGCAAAATGCATAATGTGCATTCAGTGAATGAGCTGTCTCTTTGTTGGTTCCCCACATACTTACTAGCTAGACTGGAAATCAGAATAAATTTCTTACCATAAGTTTCTATTTTACTCTTTCAAGACAAAGGTTTTTGCATTATATCCTGATCTTCTTATTTGCATAAAATGCCAGGAGAGTGATTAAAGCAAGCAAAGATATTCTTATATCCTGAATCAGGAGAGTTCCCTTTTTATTTCTTACCTCCAAGTATGAATAATATATTATTGTAAACTAGAAGATGGACCTAGCATTGCTCGGGTCCTTTAGAGCAGGAGGCTGGGAGAGTGGGGGCTGTAAGAGTCAGGATTGATGGGTGAGGGGGTCTCTGGGTATAGTTTTGGTGTACAGGAGTCAGGGCAGAGGGTTGGGAGGTATGGGAAGGGCTCAATGCAGAGTGTGGGGGTACAGGAGTAATGACATGGGGTTGGGAGGTGTGGGAGGTTTAGGACAGGGATTTGGGAGATGTCGGGGGGACTCAAGGCAGGGTGTGGGGATACAGGAGTCAGAGCAGAGACTTGGGAAGTGTGGGGAGCCTGCTCTGCCTGGATGACAGCTTCTTTCCATGGCAGGTCATAGCATTAGGGCTGATGATTGCTAGAGCTTGTGCCCTCCTATGGTCATTCTGGAGTAGAACTATAAGAGAAACAACTGGATTCCAGGCACATCCCATTCCCACAGCACAACCTACCCTTAGCAGCTTTCATTTATGATTAGAGGAAATTAAAGTGGTCCTAGTTCTTACCAGATAGGAGTTCTTGGACAAACAGACTTACAGACGGAAGGATAGTCAGACAGACTGTAGATAAATATGTAGTAGATAAATAGCTCAAAAAGCAACAGACTCGAATATTTCATAAAGCAACAAATTTTGAAAAAAATACATGAAAATACTGAAACAGAGACCAACAATCCTACCTTATGAGGTAAAATCTCTCTGCATCAATTCTCCCAGAGAGTGGAATGTTTCCCCTTCCCACCTAACTCATACATAGCACAGCCAGAGCGCAGTGCCCGTGGACTTTACTCAAGTTACTGATCATAATTCTGATAAGGGCTGATCTCTCCTTCCAGGCACTCCCTACATGGGGGGATGGTGTGGAGTT